CCGGTACCGCACCGCACCATACCGTGTTGCACTGCATTGTACCGTTTCGCACTGGTATTGTACTGTACTGCAATGTAAAGTACCGCATGCATACCGCACCGTAAGTACTGCACTGTACTGCACTGTATTGTACTATACTGCACTGTACTGCACTGCACTGTATTGTATTTTACTGCACTTTATTGTACTGTACTGCACTGTACTGTACTGCACTGAGCTGTATTGTACTGTACTGCACCGAACTGTATTGTACTGTACTGCACTGCACTGTATTGTACTGTACTGCACTGTACTGTACTGTATTGTACTGTACTGCACTGTATTGTACTGCACTGTACTGTGCTGTATTGCACTGTATTGTACTCTACTGCCCTGCACTGTATTGCACTGTACTGCACTGCACTGCACTGTATTGTACTGCACTGTATTGTACTATACTGCACTGTATTGTACTGTACTGCACTGCACTGTACTGCTCTGTATTGTACTGTACTGCACTGTGCTGTACTGCACTGTACTGCACTGTATTGCACTGTACTGTGCTGTATTGTACTGTACTGCACTGTATTGTACTACACTGTATTGTATTGTACTGTACTGCACTGTATTTTATTGTACTGCACTGTATTGTACTGTACTGCACTGCACTGTATTGTTCTGCACTGTACTGTATTGTACTGTACTGCACTGCACTGTATTGTACTGCTGCACTGCACTGTATTGCACTGTACTGCACTGTATTGTACTGTACTACACTGTACTGCACTGTATTGGACTGTGCTGCACTGTACTGCACTGTATTGTACTGCACTGTACTGCCCTGTACTGTACTGCACTGCACTTGTATTGTACTGTATTGCACTGTACTGGATTGTACTGCACTGTATTGTATTGCACTGTATTGCACTGTACTGCACTGCACTGTATTATACTGTACTGCTCTGTACTGCACTGCACTGTACTACACTACACTGTGCTGCACTGCATTTACTGTACTGCATTGCACTGTATTGTACTGCACTATACTGTATTGTACTGTACTGCATTGTACTGTACTGCATTGTACTGCACTGCATTGTACTGCACTATACTGTATTGTACTGTACTGCATTGTACTGCATTGCATTGTACTGTACTGCACTGCACAGTACTGTACTGTACTGTACAAATAAACTCTGTTAGCTGGAATCCCCGGTCCCTGGAACTCTCCAATAGCCAGAACAATTCTGGGAAAACTTATTTCTTTCCGGTTCTGTGAACAGGTTTCAGGAGATGAAAATCAGGCGAATTTTTCAGAAAAGTTCCTAGAAAATATCCCCAAACCTCTCTTTTTTTTAGGTCTAAGAACATGTTTTCTGTCAGTTCCGAAATATTTCATCATGTTCCAAAGTGTCTCCACATGCCAGGTCCATGGGTGGCTTAGGTGATTGGTTCACTTAGTTCATAATTTATTGCCATTGTAGAAGGTTGGTCCCTCACTAACTGCTGTTTTTGCATACAATTTTTGTTGTGCAGTGTGGTACAATTGGTACGTTACTGAACCAGGACACAATGACCTAAGAATACAGTGTTAAGACATAAAAAATGATTACAGTTATGTATACTGTACTGTACATTCAGAAGATTGCCTACTATAGTGGTGGTGGTTGTAAGTGTTGGTGATTGTGAGTGGTGGTGGTAAGTGTTAGTGGTGGTGAGTGTTGGTGATTGTGAGTGGTGGTGGTGAGTGTTAGTGGTTGTAAGTGTTGGTGATTGTGAGTGGTGGTGGTAAGTGTTAGTGGTGGTGAGTGTTGGTGATTGTGAGTGGTGGTGGTGAGTGTTGGTGGTGGTGAGTGTTGGTGATTGTGAGTGCTGGTGGTGGTGGTAAGTGTTAGTGTGGTGGTGAGTGTTGGTGATTGTGAGTGGTGGTGGTGAGTGTTAGTGGTTGTAAGTGTTGGTGATTGTGAGTGGTGGTGGTAAGTGTTAGTGGTGGTGAGTGTTGGTGATTGTGAGTGGTGGTGGTGAGTGTTGGTGGTGGTGAGTGTTGGTGATTGTGAGTGCTGGTGGTGGTGGTGAGTATTGTTGTTGGTGGTGATGAGTGTTGGAGTGTTAGTAGTGTGCGAGTGTTGGAGATTGTTGGTGGTGATGAGTATTGTTGGTGGCGATGGTATTGTTGGTGGTGGTGATGAGTATTGTGTTGGTGGTGGTGAGTGTTGGAGATTGTTAGTGGTGATGGTGTTGGAGATTGTTGGTGGTGATGGTATTGTTGGTGGCGATAGTGTGTTGGTGGTGGCGAGTGTTGGTGGTGGTGGTGTTGGAGATTGTTGGTGGTGATGAGTGTTGGTGGTGGTGGTGGTGGAGTGTTGGAGTGTTGGTGGTGATGAGTATTGTTGGTGTGATGGTATTGTTGGTGGTGGTGGTGGCGAGTGTTGGTGGTGGTGAGTGTTGTTGGTGGTGGAGAGTGTTGGTGGTGGTGAGTATTGTTGTTGGTGGTGGTGGAGGGTTGGTGGTGGTAGTGTTGTTGTTGGTGGGGTTGTTGTTGGTGGAGTGTTGGTGGTGGTGAGTGTTGGTGGTGGTGAGTGTTGTTGGTGGTGATGGTGAGTGTTGGTGGTGGTGGTGAGTGTTGGTGTTGGTGGTGGTGGAGTGTTGGTGTTGGTGTTGGTGGTGGTGGAGTGTTGTTGTTGGTGAGTGTTGGTGGTGGTGAGTGTTGGTGTTGGTGGTGGTGATGTTGGTGTTGGTGGTGGTGAGTGTTGGTGTTGGTGGTGGTGGTGTTGGTGATGGTGAGTGTTGGTGTTGGTGGTGGTGAGTGTTGGTGTTGGTGGTGGTGAGTGTTGGTGTTGGTGGTGGTGAGTGTTGGTGTTGGTGGTGGTGAGTGTTGGTGTTGGTGGTGGTAGTGTTGGTGTTGGTGGTGGTGAGTGTTGTTGTTGGTGGTGGTGGGTGTTGTTGTTGGTGGTGGTGGTGAGTGTTGGTGTTGGTGGTGGTGAGTGTTGTTGTTGGTGGTGGTGAGTGTTGTTGTTGGTGGTGGTGAGGTGTTGTTGTTGGTGGGTGGTGTGGTGGGTGTTGTTGTTGGTGGTGGTGAGTGTTGTTGTTGGTGGTGGTGAGTGTTGGTGTTGGTGGTGGTGGTGTTGGTGGTGGTGAGTGTTGGTGTTGGTGGTGGTGAGTGTTGGTGTTGGTGGTGGTGAGTGTTGGTGTTGGTGGTGGTGAGTGTTGGTGTTGGTGGTGGTGAGTGTTGGTGTTGGTGGTGGTGTTGTTGGTGGTGGTGAGTGGTGGTGGTGGTGTGGTGAGTGTTGGTGTTGGTGGTGGTGAGTGTTGGTGGTGGTGATGGTGTGGTGTTGGTGGTGGTAGTGTTGGTGTTGGTGGTGGTAGTGTGTTGGTGTTGGTGGTGGTGAGTGTGTTGTTGTTGGTGGTGGTGTTGGTGGTGGTGGTGAGTGTTGGTGTTGGTGGTGGTGGAGTGTTGGTGTTGGTGGTGGTGGAGTGTTGTTGTTGGTGGTGGTGGAGTGTTGTTGTTGGTGGTGGTGGTGGGAGGTTGGTGGTGGTGAGTGTTGGTGTTGGTGGTGGTGGAGTGTTGGTGTTGGTGGTGGGTGGAGTGTTGGTGTTGGTGGTGGTGAGTGTTGTTGGTGGTGGGGAATGACCCATGTGTGTGTGCCTCCTGTGAGCTGTGAGTTAGTTATTGTTATTTTTCAACTCGTGTTTTTGGATAGATATACAGTACAGTACAGTACAGATACATTGTTATTATATATTTGTACTCTTATATGTACACACAATCTTCATATAGTGTGTGCAAAAAAAAAACAAATAAAATTATCATAAGGTAAAAAACAAAGATTTTGAAAACTTTTTATGACTGCTGGCTGAAGTCCCCCAGAATGTGAGGAGGAGCGGCGGTGGAGGTCTCGGTCTCTCACGTGTATTGAAACTTATTTCCATTTAGCAGTCTGGTATTTTATTTATTTTTTTAGTATAATTTTTATTCATTCCTCACATTTACTGGTACTCCAGTATACACGTGACCCTGGTCCCTAATAACCTAGGAGAATGGGGAGTACTGTATATATAAAAAAATATGTGGTGAAAGTTGCCGGCTGGGAATGCATCCCGCCCATTTACATTAATTCTTACTGGGAAAATTGACCCGATATTCTGAGTTTCATTATTCACAATGTCTTTTTGAAACACATTCCTTGCTCTGACTGGGGTATCTCTGTATTTCCATTTAAATCAAATTAGCTATAATTTATGATTTGATAATTCAATGTCTTCTACAGTATTACCAAACCTGTGAATTATTGTGAAAAAAAGTAGTGGATGAGTGGAACAAGTTACCAAATATCATTAACTCGAATAAGCTGGATAGCTTCAAACATAGGCTGGATGGATATATGAACAATAAGAGTTGGGTGTAAATGGGACTGCCCAGTGTGGGCCAATAGGCCCATTGCAGTTTCCTCTATTCTTATGTTCTTATGTACACTGCATACACCCAAGACACGTTCTTCTTCCCATGTTTTATCACAGCTTACTAAGCTGTGCCACTTGTGTACTGTATTTGCAGTATTGGGGTTGATGGTTCATGAGTATTCAGATTAGATACTTGAGGTTTGTTTTGAGCTTAATTCCAAATTCATTATCAACCCAATACTGTACTCTACAGCACTGTACTGTACTCAACCTTAATGGATCTTTTTCAAACTTGGATAGTTATAGTTTGCTTTAGGAAATTTTTATGTGTCAACAGTTAACTTTTATTTTTAAAATGGAAACAGTAGACATCTTCCAGCAAAAGCAAGATCGCTACCTCTCTCAGTATGTCATGCTCTTGTTCTTTCAAACCACAAAGACAATTTTTTTAACTGGTGTGTGAAACTATTTATTTTAATGTTCTCTGTAATTACATGTTATTAATAATTATGCTTTGCTGATTTTTATATTATTGATATTTGGTTATTTTCTGATTTCCTGAACTGATGATAAGTAACCTTCTCCAAATTTAATGTGCAAGTATTTATTAAAAATTTTAGGCAGTGGTATCATGCAGTAAGAAGAAGTTCCAGTTTACGGTTCAAGGTGATGCCATCCAAATTCTGTCTTGGATACTAAACTCAATGCATCTTGGCTTAAAGACTCCCAACCGAAAAAATACCATCATCAATCGGTGCTTCCGTGGAACAATGAATATCTATTCTCAAAAGGTATGGCACGGTACTTGTTATGTATATCTGTACAGTATTATAGTTTTTATGTCCTCACTGTGCAGAGTGTATGATTGTGTAGCACTGTTTATCCTTCTCTTAACATTTAGATTTCTGGAGTTGTGGAAAAGTCAGAGATGTGTTTAACATAGTTGCACTTGGTGCAACACACCGACAAGTTCCTCATATTGCAGGCCCTTAGAGCAATGCAAAAAAAAACATCAAAATGGGATGATTTGAGGTAGTTCTGTCTCGTGTTCAATGCAGGTACACCACACTTAACGAACATCTGATTAATGAAGGTTCACTTTATTGGGTGTTTTACTACTGTATACAGTATAGTCTTCATTTATGCGGTCAATTGAACCCCTGGAGGTCCGCGTAAAACGAGAAACTCGTAAACGAAGTAACAGAACATATGGGATTAATTGAAATAGAGACTGGGCCGACCCCCAAACTACACTTTTTCTGACACAATACACGACGTTGTAGTAAAAATAACATCTTAATTTTATGATGGTATGCACAGTTAATATGTAAGAGAAATACAGTTGCTGGTTAATGTCCATTCAAATAATGGACTCAACTCTCCCCCTCTCTTCTTCCCACACTCGCTGGCTCTCTCCTCTCTGAGAAATGTTTGGGTGAAAACACTAGGTTTTAGGTTTAGTAATAAATAATAACCTCATACTATGGTTAGGATAATATAATTGACATTTCTGGATTCTTGCAAGACTAGGGATAATTTGAATATAAACATCATATATTTTGCACAAAAGATAAAATTTTTGTTCTTTCTAATAAAATTTAAATTAGTTCTAAAATTTGTATGACTAATGCAAATTTTAGGATGTTTATATTTAAATTAATCACCATCTTATAAGAATCCAGCAATGAAATTATATTCTGGCCGGTAATTTCTATGAATTTAATGAGCTAAAACAAATATCTTCAGTAAATAAACAAATTATACTTCACCCAGACACTATTTGTCAATCAAAATACCTCACCTCCCGCCTCCCCCTCTTCCCACGCCGCTGGGTCCTCCCTCCCTCTCCCTATTCACCACCTTCCCCCAGTGTGCGATTTAGACCTGAGGCCCATGGGCAGCCTCTTTGTGGAGGCCCCTCATTATAACTACCCAAGAGGGTGGGGTGCAGTGAAGCGAGCCTAAACATCTGGGAGTCCGGGGTAATGTAAGCCCCCGGAAAATTTGAAATTTGAACACTTCTTTGGAGAATTTTGAAGCCATATGCAGTTATAGTGAGAAAATTAGAACATTGAGAAATTTTTAATGAACTGTATATTTATTGATAGTGTACAAATTCCCAACACACACACACACAAAAAAGAGACATGTCTGGAGTCATTCATGTGGTTTCAAGTCGACCAGCCCTGATATAGCTACTACCGCACATGTGGAGGCCCCCAGATTGTGGAGGCCCCTGGGCAGCTGCCCACTTTGCCCACTCCTGAATCCGGCCCTGTTCCTTCCCAACCAGATAAATGTTAGAAAACACTAGGCTTACAGGTTTAGTAATAAATAATACCTCAGACTAAAGTTAGGATAATATAATTGACATTACTGGATTCCTTGCAAGACTGCCAATAATTTGAATATAAATGTCATATATTTTGCACAAAAGATATAATTTTTGCTCTTTCTAATAAAATTCTTAAATTAGTTCTAAAATTTGTATGACTAATGCAAATTTTAGGATGTTTATATTTAAATTAATCACCATCTTATAAGAATTCCAGCAATGTAAATTATATTCTGGCCGGTAAATTTCTATGAATTTTATGAGCTAAAAACAAATATCTTCAGTAAATAAACAAATTATACTTCACCCAGACACAATACGTTACGCATAGTAAAAATCATCTTAATTTTATGATGGTATGCACACACAATTAATATTTAAGAGAAATATAAATAATATTAGTTTTTAACACTTACGTTAGTAGAAGAGATGGCTGGGTACACGGGATTGGGTTGGTTCAGGCAGAGGGCAGATTATTGGCCCCGCCTGTATCATCACTGAATCACTTGTATCAGTATCCACCACAGAGGTTTGCAGGGCCTCTTTGTCAAACCCTCAAAGTCCATATCCTCACTATCACTGACGGCTGTGGTGGGTGGCTGATGAAGAACTCAGTAATTTGTTGATCAGGGTTTTTAAAGACCCTGCCCAGCATAATTAAAACATTTCATTCTGGCAAGGTGCCTCACATTTTTACCTGTGTATAAAGAAATGTATACAGTATTCCCTTTATGTGTTTGCCCTCAGGAAAATTATTTTAAAATAATAATTATTAATAATTATTAATAATTATTATTTACAAGTAAAAGAAATAATTAATATAATAATAATAATAATAATAATAATAATAATAATAATAATAATAATAATAATAATAATAAGTTTATTAATTGAGTTGCAGCCGGTGGCTGAAAATATACTGTATTGTATATATATGTGTGTGTGTGTGTAGACACAAAACACATACAAATAAATAATAATTGGAAAATCCTTGGGGATTGGGTCGGTCCGGATTTTCGGATTTTCCGGATTCTCAGGCAGTGCTTTTAAAATTCAAATTTAAGGAGGAATAAAGAAGAGATGAACAGGTACATTTTGATAGTTTATTCATTAGCTAATACATATTCCCGCCAACGCGGTTTCACTTAGCGCCTTTTATCATATACGCGGTGCCTCGCCAGAGCTGAACTTTCACTTAACACGGATTTTTTCATCATATGTGTGAGTGTCCGCTCGGTTTGATTTTACCCACCCCCACCCTGCCTGACTGCCTGTTTTAGCTCAGAAAATTCATACAAATTACCGGCCAGAATATAATTTACATTGCTGGAATTCTTATAATTTGGTGATCATTTTGAATATAAACATCATATATTTTGCATTAGACATACAAATTTTAGATAAAATTTTTTCAACTATGTTATCTTTGTGCAAAATATAACATTTATATTCAAAATCTCTAGTCTTACAAGGAATCCAGCAATGTCAATTATATTATCCTAACTTTAGTTTGAGGTATTATTTATTACAAAAAGTTAAGTATTCTGGTTTTTCCACACATCTCCTTGGGACGGTTGGTGTGGGGTGGGGGAGGGAGGAGGACCGACCATCGACCATCTGTTACCCTGTGAAGAATATTTTTTTTTTTATTAACTGAAGATATTTGTTTAGCTCATAAAATTCATACAAATTACACAGAATATAATTTTACATTGCTGGAATTCTTATAATTTGATGATCATTTTGAATATAAACATCATATATTTTGCATTAGACATACAAATTTTAGATAAAAAATTTTTGATAACTATGTTATCTTTTGTGCAAAATATATGACATTTATATTCAAAATATTCCTTGTCACAAGGAATCCAGCAATGTCAATTATATTATCCTAACTTTAATCTGAGGTATTATTTAATACTAAATGTTAAAAACCCCTGAAGGGAGGATTGGTGGGGGGTGGGGAGGGTTGGGACTGACCGCTGCATAAGAGGGGGAGGGAAGGTGGGGTACTTTGATTGACAGATAGTGTCGGAAGATTATTATTATCAGATATTTGTTTAGCTCATAAAATTCATACAAATGAGACATTTAATAATTGCTGGAATTTATAATTTGGTGATCATTTTGAATATAAACATCATATATTTTGCATTAGACATACAATTTTATAAAAAAAATTTTTCTGAGTAACTATGTTATCTTTGTGCAAAATATAGACATTTATATTCAAAATATTCCTGGTCTTACAAGGAATCCAGCAATGTCAATTGTATTATCCTAACTTAGTTTGAGGTATTTATTAAAATTTAGTGGTTTTCCCCAAAATTTCTACAGAGAGGGAAGAGCCGGTAGTGTGAGAGGGAGGGTCGATCCATTATTTGAATGGACATTAACTTGGCGACTGTATTTCTATTTCTAAGTATTATTGTGTGCATGTACCATCATAAATTAAGATGTTATTTTTACTACAACATAGTTATGTGTCTTCAAAAAGTGGAGTTTGGGGGTCGGGCCGGTTTCTATTGGAATTAATCCCATATGTTCTGTTGTTCATTTCATCTGATTTCACTTAACACCTCTGGGTTCTATTGACCGCAAGTAAGTGGGTACAACTGTATAGCATGCTTCATTTATCAAACGAGCAGTTTTAAAAAAAAAGCTGTGAATTCTATAATTTTATTCTTTGCCTTTTTTATATCATAAATTGTAGACTTTCCAATGAGATTTTTCCATTAGAAAGTATTGCTTCACCACGTTCTAGTTTCTTTATTATTTCAAATTTGTCCCCAATTTTAACGGTTTTTTCTCTCTACACACAACGGTTTATCTACTAGGAGCCATTATTAGGCCTGTACAGTACTCTGTAAATGGAAAAGTGGGACTCCAAATTACACATGCTTGTCACAGTTTGATTGCTCGTTTTAAAGTGGTGGCTAAGGGTCACTTGTTGTCACTGTGCAGCTTGGCACACATGATTACACAAAGCCAACAAAAAAAAAATATGTGAGTTTCTGAGAGGTCCGGATTCTCAGGTGGTCTGGATTTCTTGCATCCGGATTTTTGGACTTTTACTGTACCTTCAAGTCTACTTCGTGCTCTTTTAATAACAAAGCACTGAATGGAGTTGAAGGTAGACTCAACATTTTTAATAAATTTTTTTCTGATTATTTGTGAGAAGATTTTCCCATTATTATTTATTTGTATGTGCTTTGTGAGACACACACACACACACACACACATATATACAATACAGGTAAAAGAAATTACTGTCTCTAGAACGAATGGTTCCCTGTCCCGGCCGCAAAAATGACAGCAACTTTAAAACTACAATTGGGTACCTCCAGGGTGTCATTCGGTAATAGAGAACCGCAAATAAAATCCACGAATTATCCGGGTGTACTGTACAGTAAATAGTCAAATAAGTGTAGAATTATGTAAGAGTAAGTTATT